TGCACCCCACCTTTCCCGCGGCCTCCTAATGAAGCAGAGACGCCGCACTCAGCCCGATCGTGGGCATCCATCTTGTGTGGAGCTTATGCTTGGGAACAGAAAAGGTTACTTCTCCTTTCGCGGCTGCAGCTCATTGCTCAGAGGCTTTTGTGTGTCAGCTCTTTGTCTGATGTGAACGTGGAGGTCAGGCCCGGAGGTCAAAACGCTAACTCTCGCCACGAACATGCTAACGCCCAGGGTCAAACGCAGATAAAAGCCAGGCAAAGATGTCTCCAATCTGGGATGAGGGCACCGCAGATAACCCTTGTAAACAGCTGGCTGCGATAGAGACATAAAAGCTATTAGGACAACACACAACTTGAATGCTTTGGGCCTTCAGGTCTACTGCATCAGGGCGGCACGGTGGCTGAGTGGATAGCACTCTCGCCTCTCAGCAAGCAGGTCCTGGGTTCGAATCCCGGTCGGACCAGGGCCTTTCTCAGTGGAGTTTGCATGTTCTCCCCGTGTCTGCGTAGGTTTCCTCCAGGTACTCCGGTTTCCCCTACCACTAAAAATATGTTCAATAGTTCTGGCATGTGCCTCCTGTACTGGCCCCGCTCCCATCTCTGTGTGGAGTGAGAGACAAATGCCCAAAAATTAACAATTGTAAACCGCTTTGAGACTCAGATCTGCAGTGAAAAGGCAGTATATAAATAAAGATTACTTACTACTTACTTACCTATAGCCCAAGACCAGGGGTTCTCTTACAGGCTTTCATCTCCAAGCCAAAATAAATATGCACTGACATGGCCAAAACGGATTTAAAAATGGATTGAAGGTTCGGTAACACTTTAGATTAGCCCTCTCTAATTAACAGCTAGTTAAGTGCCAAATAGTGTCTCATAACCCTAACGCACATGGGTAAATGTCAGGAAAGCCATGTAAAAAGGACTAATAAGTGCTTAATAAATACCAAATATTATTTTATTTTGTTAAAATTACACACTCTCAAATATTTTTTTAATACAATAATATTATTTACTATTTTTAACTATTAACTAGAGCAGTGTTCCCAAAACCTTTAGAGCCATAGCAATCACACGGCACACCACCACCTGAAACTTGTTTAACATTTTAGAATAATTCTCATCAAAGTGTATTATATGGGAAATTACAGCCGCCCCACTGCGCGCCTGGTGTTCCCAGAGGTCTCCCATCACAGTACTAACCAGGCCTTTCCCTACTTAGCTTCAGAGGGAGCTTGCGTATGGACTGTGCCTTGCCTTGAAACGCAAAAAAAAGGCTGACGACATCACACTTAACCTCACCGAGCCTCTTCCACTTGCACTGCTAGCTTACATCTCTTTACATCCGGACGCTAGCTCTGATAACAGCTAGCCAAATCGTCTCCAATCCGGGCTAACGCTCTGCAGATAACCCCCTGAATGTAAACAGTCCCTGGAGAACATGAAAGCCCCTCGCTGCACTTCACCCTTATCTCCAGCGCGTTTATCCCAGATGCCCTCCCACCGCACCGCACTGACAGTTATACGACACCCTTTAAGTCCAGCGCTATTCTCCGTCCAGAGAAACACAACCCTCGCTGCAGCCTTCGGGGTCTTTCTTTTAGCTCCGGCCTATTGTTGGGTTAATAGCTTGCGGGAGAGGTTAGCTTGGGAGGGAGAGGGAGAGTGCTAATGCTAACCCAAGTGCCCTTAATTAGCCCACTGTGCCGGCCCCATTGTCACGTCTTTTGTATGGCTTTGAGATTAGCCTTGTCAAATAAAAGCTGCTTGTAAAAAGAGAATGAAAGGGCCCAGCCTGGATGTTAATCAATATCGGGGCGGCAACAAGAAGAATAGCACAACACAAACAATGGTGAGAAGGTGGCGCTGATAGGGTTAAATGTGTGGGAAATGCAAAGACTTCAGCTACAGTATGTGAATGGGGTTTTTACTGTGTTTTGTTTGCAAAGAGAAAGTCATTATAGTGCGTCATTAAGGCCCCAGTACGCAATTTAGACTTATTAGCTAAAATAACAGTTGTATATTTAAGATGGAGTGCCAGATAAATAGACAGATATTTTATTGATCCCTGTAGGAGAAATTCAGGTGTCCAGTCGCAGAAACACATCCATCCATAGATATATAAGTTGGTAACCATAGTAATAAAGTGCTAAAGTGCTAACGGGTCACAGCAGCAGAGGAGGTGCAGCCGCTTCCACAGGTTGAAGTCTGCAGAGTTTGCTTGGTTCTGACCATTTTCACTGCTCTGGTTCAGAGTGAAATTCTATTTTTGAATAATTTGCATTCCTCGATTCCAGTCTCTCTGCTCTGGCCAGGATCAGGATCATATAAAAGTCAATTTGATTCAACAGAAGGATTCCTGAACCGTAACCCTAAACTGTCCAGATGGAGATTGACCGCGATACTTTAAGCCGATATTATAATTTCATGTTTGTACAAGATCCGGATCACGTTATTTCACGACATAAAACTTGTTATTTCACGATATAAAACTTGTTATTTCATGATATAAAACTTGTTATTTCATGATATAAAACTTGTTATTTCATTATATAAAACTTGTTATTTCATGATATAAAACTTGTTATTTCATGATATAAAACTTGTTATTTCATGATATAAAACTTGTTATTTCATTATATAAAACTTGTTATTTCATGATATAAAACTTGTTATTTCATGATATAAAACTTGTTATTTCATGATATAAAACTTATTTCACGATATAAAACTTGTTATTTCACGATATAAAACTTGTTATTTCACGATATAAAACTTGTTATTTCATGATATAAAACTTGTTATTTCACGATATAAAACTTGTTATTTCATAATATAAAACTTGTTATTTCATGATATAAAACTTGTTATTTCACGATATAAAACTTGTTATTTCACGATATAAAACTTATTTCATGATATAAAACTTGTTATTTGATGATATAAAACTTGTTATTTCACGATATAAAACTTGTTATTTCACGATATAAAACTTGTTATTTCACGATATAAAACTTGTTATTTCATGATATAAAACTTGTTATTTCATGATATAAAACTTGTTATTTCACGATATAAAACTTGTTATTTCATAATATAAAACTTGTTATTTCATGATATAAAACTTGTTATTTCACGATATAAAACTTGTTATTTCACGATATAAAACTTGTTATTTCACGATATAAAACTTATTTCATGATATAAAACTTGTTATTTGATGATATAAAACTTGTTATTTCACGATATAAAACTTGTTATTTCACGATATAAAACTTGTTATTTGATGATATAAAACTTGTTATTTCACGATATAAAACTTGTTATTTCACGATATAAAACTTGTTATTTCATTATATAAAACTTGTTATTTCATGATATAAAACTTGTTATTTGATGATATAAAACTTGTTATTTCACGATATAAAACTTGTTATTTCACGATATAAAACTTGTTTTTTCACGATATAAAACTTGTTATTTCATGATATAAAACTTGTTATTTCACGATATAAAACTTGTTATTTCATGATATAAAACTTGTTATTTCACGATATAAAACTTGTTATTTCATGATATAAAACTTGTTATTTCATGATATAAAACTTGTTATTTCACGATATAAAACTTGTTATTTCACGATATAAAACTTGTTATTTCATGATATAAAACTTGTTATTTCATGATATAAAACTTGTTATTTCACGATATAAAACTTGTTATTTCACGATATAAAACTTGTTATTTCATGATATAAAACTTGTTATTTCACGATATAAAACTTGTTATTTCATGATATAAAACTTGTTATTTCACGATATAAAACTTGTTATTTCACGATATAAAACTTGTTATTTCATGATATAAAACTTGTTATTTCACGATATAAAACTTGTTATTTCATGATATAAAACTTGTTATTTCATGATATAAAACTTGTTATTTCACGATATAAAACTTGTTATTTCACGATATAAAACTTGTTATTTCATGATATAAAACTTGTTATTTCATGATATAAAACTTGTTATTTCACGATATAAAACTTGTTATTTCACGATATAAAACTTGTTATTTCATGATATAAAACTTGTTATTTCATGATACCGTTACACATTTCTGCAACAACGACGGGTGTCAGTGGGATATTTGTTCGCGGATGCAGGAGAGTAAGTAATGTGGAATATTAAAGCTGCACTAACTCACTTGAAACTCGCTCTTTCTGCCCCCTTCCCCCCCGCACTCACGGAGCTATCGTCGTTGTGCATCAGAGCTCCCTGGAGGTTTATTCTCAGTTTCTTTCAGGTTTTCAGTTTTTTCAGACAGAACAAAGTCAGGACATGGTTTATGTAGTCACTGTTACGTCACAGATATGTCACGCAGAGAAAGGCGTACGTGTCACATCCAGAGACAATCAGAACATGTTAGAGTCATAACATGGATTGTGACTGTGAGGGCCAGATATTCTGAGTATATCACTGTAAATTTATGAACCGCTATCACCAAAATTATAATCAATAGCCTGACAAGCTAACACGCTAGCCTCACGGTGCTAAATATGTACATTTTGTGATACATAACCCGTATTATTACTACTAAAAGTCTGAACATATTTTAATGCTGTCAGATTGGAAGGTTTAAAATACTCTTTCTCTTCAACCCCACAGCCGTTTACAGTCTGTTTGTTTTTCCGCACAGACTCTTCTTCTCTTCCTTCTGCTCTGAGGCGACTCCCGGATCCTGCTTGTCCAGACCTCTCGACCCTCAGGTCAGGAATGTGCCGCCCCCGGAGACAGAACCAGAAATGCAAGACAGCAGCAGATCTCTCTCAAATATTTGCCCAGTTCCGGAAGAGAGACAGCTGAGGCCGAGCGACTGACGGACGGAGGGGCCGGGCGGACCCCCACACAGATTTAGACTCGTGACGTAAAGCTGTGTGTTCGCACTGGATCAGGAGGCGACAGCAGGAGCATTAGGTTAGAAATAAGGTCAGTGATGGTGGTCAGGGTCAGAGGTCAGATCGCCCTCTTTAAGCCAGAGTTTCATCAGAACAAACCAAGTAAGAATACATTCCTGTTTGAATTTATTATTATTATTATGATTGTTTCTACTATATCACAAAACATAAACAGACAGAAAAATTACCAGACAAAACATTACAATTACAATCCATGTGTGAAACAGGTGAAACTCGAAACATTTGTTAAATGCAGTTTACTGAACAAGTGGTGGGCAAACCCCGGGCCGTGGGCCAGATGCGGCCCTTTGAACATATGTATTAGGTCCCAGGGTTTTCCTCAGTTTGTATAGTTACTGTATAAAGACTGTAAATGTCATATTCAATGGTTTATTTATGTGTAAAAATGAAGCTTGAGACAAAACATTAGAATATAGTGTCAGGGATGAAGCAGACAGAGACGGATCGTGGTGCGCCAAACTCTGGAAGTTTATTTAAGTTTCTCTCAAGTTCCAGTGGTTTCCATTGTTTCTTTCTCTCAGACAGAATGGAGTCAGTACACAGTTTATATAGTCATTGTCACGTCACACATGGAAAGACGTGTCACACAGAGACAGTCACATCATGGTCAAAATAATCAGAGTCCTTGTAGAGTCCTGCACGTAGGCCATATTGCTATCTAATACTAACACATGGTAAGACCCAGACAGGAGCCTGATATTCCAAGTTTGCAGATGCTTGTTCAAAACCATAGACTGTAAATATTAACGGACGTAGTGGCGCCTATCTCCTTTGTTGGAAAATATGTGTGATCAATATTGACCTTTTCAAAGTAAGTAGCCCCTCCCACACGATAAATTGTGAAAAAACATGTTAGTGCATGTGTTAGCTGAAGAAACGCGTTCATTCAAAAGTCCACAGCGGCTAAACTAGGCTGGTCCAAAACAAAAGACTGCCCTCAGCATCCACAGCATCTCTTAGCGTTTGAGCCAAGAGCGACTTTCGGACCGGGCTGTGAAGCTGTTTTTGAAAGGATAAAAGCACCATGAAAATTCATTGGATAATTCTGTTTCCAGGTACACCACCCCCCCCCCCCCCCCCCCCCCCGCCCCCGCCCACCGGCAATGACGGCAATGAGCCAGATTACAGACATGCCGAACCCATCCCCACTGGTCTAAAAGCATCCGCAAGCACTTACTAGAATCCTTTTTTATTGTCATTGTAAGCAACAGAGAGTCACAAACTTGGAATTTGCTTTGGCTCATGGTTCAAACAACTTATAAAAGTAATAAATAGATTTATAGCCCGCTTATAATTACTGCTACACACAAGAACACGCCCACTACGCTTATGGTCCTTTACGAGACTTTTGCTGCTATAATTCTAAAGCAGACCCAGCGATTACAACAGTCTGCGGACGTTCGAGGAAAACCAGTATTTTTCCGCTTATTCAAAGTCAATGCAAATATATCACGGTTCGAGAGTTCGTGTCTGAACTAATAAACATGTTTTTCTGAGACATAATCACAGACCTCTGCATCACTTCTCAGTCTGCATCTCTCTCTCGGTCGTCCCCAGAGCCGTGGAGGGAGCTGCAGAGATGGAACCTTGACTTTGCAGGTTGACAATGGCGGCTCTGAACCCTTTTAACGTATTCTCCATACTCCACTTTACTATACGATCCTTGAAATTCTTATAGTACCTTCGCATTAGACACACAAAGGTAATTTAAAATGCCGTCACAGCCACATTTGTGCCAAGTTTCCACGGTAATTCTCAAGTGTTTTCAATCTAATTCAAAGGAAATATCGCATTCGTGTAAAGTCACAACACTCCAAAAAGCCTTTCGTTTAGAACCGTGATCGAGAGAGGCTTTGAAGTCTTTCTCGGTAACTATGGCAACTGTTGGGTTAGAGTTTATTCTTCTAATTCCTGGCCCATTCTACATGTTTCTTGAAGTCGAAAAAATATTCAAAAACATTAAGAGTGAGATGAAGAGATCCTTTATTCATCCCATAGTCGGGAAAATTCAGAGCAATAAGTTCCTGGTGTGGACTTTAAGAATAATATGTTGAGTTTGTGAATATTACTTAAAATATATTTAATATACTTAAAATTACTATCTAATAATGATCTGAAAAATATTTGGATATTTTCTCAATATTAAGATTGATTTATTCCCACTGACTTTCACCTTACACTGAAAAAGAATTCTAGAACATGGACCAAATAAGAAAGTACTTTAATTATATAGCACATTTTTACAGACCAAAGCGCTTTACAATGTTCAGACGCAAATTACAGATACTATAATATCGCCTTTAAACACATAAGCTCGGGCTGTGACAAACATATATTTAGATTTACAGTGATTTTTAGCAGTTTTCTTCATGTTTTCTTTCCTTCAATTTATAAAAACTCACACACATTTATAGAGAGAGAGAGAGATTTAGTTTAGATATTTTAGACTTGGGGCGACAGTGGCTCAGTTGGTAGAGCATTGGCCTTTGAGCCTGAAGGTCGTGGGTTCGAGCCCACCTCAAGACCTACTTCACGACTCCCACTGATGACTGCTGTTGTTGTGTCCTTGGGCAAGACACTTAACCCCACTTTGCCTGAAGCTCCCACCGAAAGATCTCAGCTCGTGTGGACTCAGCACCTGCAGGAGGATCAGTGAGGGGCTGGTGCTCTGTGAACTGGGTGCAGCTCTGACTGCCACCCCCCCGACCCAGAAATGGATTAAGGGGAAGAAAATGGATGGATGGATGGATGGATTTTAGACTTGTATCATAATCAATCTAAATGTAAATCTTTTATTTATACAGTTTCACAGACCAAGGTCACACAAAGCGTTCACTGAAAAAAGTGATGAAAAATAAGTGAAAAATTGCTCAAATTGTGCAAAAACAATTAATTAATTAACTTGAGCACATTCTGAGTGAGCCGTAGAACCAGATTTGTGAATGGGACAAAGCAAAATAATCTTGTTCTAAAAAGATACAAGAAATGTCTCGCTTGGAATGAGAAAATAAAGCAACAGTTAAAACCACTCGATTAATTTTGAATATTTTTGGCAGTTTTTTATTGTTGTTAAAATGTGAATTGTAGCATTTCAAAGTCCTCTATAAATATATGTACTGTATCGCCAGCTAAGATAGACACCCAGCCTTGCACCAAGCCTCACAAACAACGATTTATTCTACTAAACTCAATTTATGAGTCCGTTCGCCCATCCTCTGCCGTCCTTGATTATTCCCCTTGGACTACACCCTGTCAATTACTGGCCTCGGTCCGTGGACAGTCTACGGTCCCGGCTTTAGACCCCGTGTTCTGGGCTTTGGATTCGCAGAGGCCTCGGGGTCATCATGCTCCATGCTTCTCGGATCCTCTGCATTCTCCCCTCTGCTCCCACACGCTCTGCTCTTTGACCGCCATGGCCATATAAGGAAGCGGGCGCCATGGCAACTGCCCTGGCTTCAAAAGCTGGTGTGAAATCCCAGCGAGCACATAACACACATATAAAAGTGCAGCGAGCCGCCCCCTCCCCCCCTACACACACACACACACATGCACACGCACCCACACACACACACACACACACACATCCCTTTGGCTATAAAGGCAAACACAAACAGAGGAGGTGCCGGTTGTAAGCAGACCGAGTGGAGTATAGGGTCCCCTCAAATGGCACAAGGGCCCGAAGCAAAATAATGGCCTTATCTGTGGAGAAATGTCAAGAGCTAATTGAAAGACCTTTTACTGCAGGCTTTAAAGGTGGCAATATGCTTTCCTTGGGGTTTTTTGTATTAGTATTATAAAGCACGGTTATATAGCCGGTGTTTTGGTCGCTGTATTTTCTGCAATCTTGATCGAAAATGGCTTAATATTACAAGTGGGTTAATTCATGATTTTTTGACTCAGACTCTAATCCACACGAGATCAAGAGACACCAGAAGTCAAGACTAGCATACAAAGAAAATACAGACAATTATAAAAGACAGCTATACCAATGGTTCCATGAGAGACTGGTATAGTATCGTGAGGGCGAATGAATTTAGCGCTGTCAAAGCAGATTTCATGGACTTATTATTTTGACTGACGTTATACAACAGAGCTTCATATCGCAAGGAAGCTCCATTCAAACAGCAGCTTCGTTCACGCTGCAACCCTCCTCCTCCCCGTGTCCGCCTCGTTCCAGGCCAGCTCCTTCATCCTTCTTCTAGCTACAATCACCAGGTTCTTGGCCCCGGGGGATTTCATCTCAAATCTCTTTCCCCTTCTGCTTCATCACAGCGCTCTGCCGGGGTCTAAGCGCCAAATCCCAACCAAAATAATCTTGAAAATATTGTCCTCAGAGTTGTATGTGTCAGATTGTGCCAACCAACAAACATCACTGCTAATACCCATGTTTTTTTTTTACTGCTCCAGTCTCTGCAGATTTAAATGGGATTGAAATGGTTTTGAAAAAGGGGCATAGAAAACTTCCAACCCCCAACCTTCCAACCATTTGGCATAATTGGAGCAAACCGATTCCACTCTGGCTGAGCTGGCATGTAAACTGCAAACACCGCATCCTTCTGAACCGAAAGTGCCTTAGAAATTTATTTTTATTAGTGTTGTAGAAAATGACAAAAGATGCAGAGGTCTCAGACGGCGTCTCAGCAGGAGAGGTTTATTGTTGGTTCTCGGCACAAATGTGTTCACAGTTAGTTTTATACCAAGGCTAACATAACATTGCCTCCTCTCTGCATCTGCCACAGAGAGAGCAGATAAGTTTGAGTCAAAACATCAAGTTGAAAAGTAGTGAATTATGCAGACTGCTGTGCTGTATCAGTTTGAACGGATTTGCGCAAAAAAGTATTATAAATTAACCAAGCTGAAGCAACCACATGTGGAATATTATCCTCAGACGGGATCTTTACGCAAGTTTATTTAGTTTCTCTCACTTCTTTCTCAGGTTTTTTCGGACAGAACAAAATCAGGAAATGTTTTTTTAAAGTCTGTGTTTACGTCATACTGAGAAAAACATACGTGTCATCGAGAGACATCAAAAGCACATAACACGGATACACAATCATGGCAGATACAGAGCAGGCCAGAACACTTGTAAAGCTATCTACATAAAACTTATTCCAGCTGTATTTTTGTCAATAAAACAAAATATACTTTATAATTGTATATTATCATGTATTGTTTCGTTCTATTCTGTTGTTGTCCTTTGTTCTTGTTCGCCATGGCTCAAAATAAAGTATCCATTTGTTCAATTATCCAAAAATGATTATCCATTTAAGCACCAAAGAAGCAGAATTACTACTCGAGCTCCTGAAAACAGAACATTTTCTATACAGTGACCTGGCTTCACACAAACATTTCAATATGGTTGCCGTACATCTTTTTCTGTGATTGGATTTAGGCCTCTATCTCTCCTCTTTAGTCCTCTGTCTAAACTATCTATACAGTGGGAAATTTCAGTGTTGCATTACAGGTTACAGAACAGTAGGAAAGAGGAGCACACGATAAGTTATTAGTACAGCCCTATATCTTAATAAAGAAACAAATTATTAACACATATAAGGTAAAACTATTGGAAATATATACTTGTATTTTCACATCAATATACATCTGTAATACACTTGTTTATTTATTTATTTGTATAGTGCATTTTACAGACCAAGGAGGCATTGATAAAATCTTTTATAAATTAAATTACTAATATCTCACTAAAAATGTGTTGATCTTATTTTTAAATCACACATTTTTTGATCACACAAGAAAATATATTTGGCTCCGACAGAAATACATATTTAAGTAGTAGTTTAAGTAACATATTTTGACTTTTTTGGCTCTCTCTCTCAGCTTAAAAGGTTCCCGACTCCTCTGGTGCAAGGAATAAGTCATTAGCTCAATACCTATAACACTTTACTACATTTTTCTGGGCCTGCAAACAATTATTTGACAACTTAAAACGTTGACAACTTCTCAATAATCATTGTAATGTGATTAATCGATTAACTTGTTAGACCCCCTAGTCCCATTTAAGCCAACAATGGGAATAAAGTCTCTTAAACGTGTGTGGAACGGACCCCAAAACAACTCCATGGGCTGCTCCAACTTCTGAAAGCTTCCCTGCCTGCACCAAGCCACCCCCAAAAGAAAAGAGGGGGATCGGGGGGGACCATACACCAGGCTCTTGTAATGCTATTTGACTTTTCCCACCCCCACCATACCCAAAGCAGAGCGCAAACACAGCCCAAAGACATACGGCCATTCACGCACACACACACATGCACACACAGATATACAAAACACACACACACACACACACACACACACACATCCAGGGCCAGTGCAAAAAGGAGGGCGCTATTCATTACTTCTCAGTGGGCAAACACCGACAAAAGGCAGAGGGGGTGAGACCTATGTGGGATCCGGGAAGCGCAGATCACACACACGCACGCCTGGATCCGTGCTAGGACCCAGGGGAGCGACACATTTCTTGACACTTGTCCCAGTCTTTCGAAGCCCTTTCCTCGGCTTGGATCGACCGACCGACCTCCGTGGGCTATTACGCGGCTTTTACGCACCGACCTCCGGAGGCTTTTACGCACCGCCTACCCGGGCTATCCTATCCTCGCCACGGACCGAAAGATGCTGTGGATTTGTTTGGGTTTGCGGGGAACGCAGATGGGACGATGTTGAGGGGGATATTACGCCGGAGAGACAGCCCCTCTGCTCGGGTAGACGATCGGAGGAATTAGCGTCCGTGCCGAGCCGAGCCAAGCTAAGAATTTGTGGTAAGCGTAATGTCTATATATGTACGCGCGTTATCGGTAAATCAACACGCACATTTGGACACGTTTTTGTACAATATTTACTGCATAAATGGTAAAATATTATGCTAGCTAACCTGGCCAGGCTACGAAGTCCATTTTGAACCATTAGCATCATGACCCGATTCTCACGCGGACAACACGCCGAGTTAAGCTAGCTAGCATCGCATTTAAAACACATATTATTATTATTATTTTTTTTTTTACCGCAGATAAACATTCACATTCAGCATTTCACCGTCTGTTTGTGTTGTAATAACGTTGTAATAACAGCATTTTGTGTGTGTTTCTGTCCACCCCCAGTTAAAGGGGACCTAGCCTTTGGACGCCTGCAGCCTCTGAAGCTGGCCCAGATAGAGAAGTGCAGACTGCTGTGGAACAAATCAGCTTTTTAGGGGGTGTATTTTTGGAGTAGCACGAAGACAAACAAAGTTGCCACACTTGGAGATTGTTTCCAGGTCATAGTGGAGGGGGAGGAGACAGACACAGTGCTGTTTTTAAGCCTGAATTATTCCTATTTCTCTCCCCTCATTGTGGCTCGTCTGCTTGTTTACCTATTTCTCTGAGGAAATCACATCTGTGCAATTGAGTGAACCCTTTCTCGCAAATATATGACAATACTAAAGCTGTACAAGTCGATTCAGGCTCCGTTTATATTTTTTTCAGTCATCTAAAAGGAGAGGGCAGGCAGATTTTTCACTTTTTTCTGCATCTTAAGACAATGTTGATGTTTTTTTAATGCATAGATGTATCAGATGACGTTGCTCTAAGTAGTGAATGTTTTTAAGAGCTTGCCACGAAAGCTGTAATTGAAGAACAGAGCATGTCTCTCCTTTAGTCAACTCCAACCAATCACAAAGTGCGATCTCGAATAATCAATTAACATACATGTTTTCCCGTGACACCAACCAGTAACTTTGGTGTGTGTCCAATTTCCTATTCTCTGGCGGGGTAACCAAGAAATGGCCATGGTGAGTGGGGGCTGGGGAGATCCAAACGGAGGCACGAACGGCTTGGGGGACAAGGCTTACCTGAGGGGGGAGGAGGAGGACGGCTCGCCCCAGGCCGCGGGCAGCGACATGGAGGCCGGGGAGGACGACAAGGCCTGCGTGGTGGACTGTGTGGTGTGCGGGGACAAGTCCAGCGGGAAACATTACGGCGTGTTCACCTGCGAGGGCTGCAAGAGCTTCTTCAAGAGGAGCGTGAGGAGGAACCTGAGCTACACCTGCAGGTGAGTGTGGGGGAGGGGCAGGGTAAGGTTATGGTACAGGGAGGGGGCGGAGTGACCTATGAGAGGGTTCAAAGAGACAGGACCAACGACTGTAGGAGGAGGAGTGGAATGGAATTGGCAAAAATGTGACGATTAGATAGTTTAGCGATCCTTGGGCTACAATTCAACATTACTTTGATTCTTAAATATCGCGATACAGCAAGTATTGTGATTTGATTCTGTGATTCGATTCTGTAATTTATTGCGATTCTTGTCCCTCATATCATTCAAAGGCATTAGAACAGATTGAAGAAATTAAGACTCCAAACAACAAGACAATTATTATCGTCTGCACCGAAGAAAACACTTAGAGTAGGCATGTCCAAACTAAGGCCCGTAGGTCAAATGCTTTTTGAACTTTTTATGTGGCCCACTGCCTTTTTACACAAACTTGCAATTGAGGCATTTTCTTAGTGTCATCCAGCCAACTTCAGCTCTACCAATATAGTCATGCTGTACCGGTTGTGAATCTTTGGAATTCAACCATTAACTCTATTTCTATATGCTGATATTTGTCTATGATTGTATCACAAAACCAATATGGACTTATCAAACCCAATTGTAAAGCTTGGAATCCCTGTTGTTTTTTCCCCACTACTAGTTTGGAGCTTGATGGTTAAAGGAGACACAGGACCAAAAACTGCAGCAGGAGTGGACTAACCAAGGGTCTGATGTCTGAAGAATTATAGCTTCAGGATTTTCGGGACTATTAAGCCGCACCAGAACCACTTTATGATATTATATTTCAATTCAATGTATTCTTGTCTCTCCCAAAATCAAATATGAATCAAATATGAAATAAATGCAATGATAAAAACACATAGAGACATTGGTCCAAAAGAGGCAGAGACCAATGTCCTTGAATATCATTAAACGTACCTGGATTATCACCTGTATCTCTGCTCATAAACAAAACATTCTGAATCCTGGCTTCAGAGTTGACTCAAATACATTTCCCCCCCCCCCCCATCTCGGGTAGAAAGCGTCGCCTTGTGGTCGGCTTGTTTTAGCAGCAGCACATAGTTTCCAGGCTCCAGATCGTGCCTTTCATCCATTCTGCGTGTTCTCCTCGTCCCCATTCCATCTACACTGTCCTGTGACCGCTGCTTTAGACGAGACCTTGTTGCCCTGGTAACCGGCAGCAGGTTGACCTTATGTAACTATGGAGACTTATAAGAAAGCAGTATTCTGATAGAACGTGTATGCTAACAATAGGGCTGTGGTGATTTCTACTGGAGGGTAAAGTGGTTAGCGCTGGACTCCTGGGTTCGATTCCACCTCCAGGACTTTCTGTGTGGAGTTTGCATGTTCTCCCTGTGTCGGCGTAGGTTTTCTCCAGGTGCTCCGGTTTACCCTACCAAAAAAAACCATGTTAAATTATACATGCTGTATGTATAAAGATTTCTTACTTGTTGACATCCGTATATCCATCCATTTTCTTCCGCCTCATCCGTTGCCGGGTCTTTTGCCGATACTTGTTGATCTGCATAATTCAATGTGTATCTAGACACAGGGGACTTGATTTGAAATTATATATTTATTAAGATTACAAAGCTCTTGGCGTTTGGCTGCTCCAATTGAACCGAAATACAACTCTATGGATGCATTTATATTTCATGTATTGATGATTAATTGTGGTTGAATTAAAATTTTAAAATATACTGTATACCGGTGTGTATTTTTACAAAAACACAAAAATAAATATTACATCATAAAACATACATGGTGTCTAATTAATAAACTATTAATATTCAATTCAATGTATTTCTGTATAGCCCTAAATCACAGGAGTATATTTATCTCAAAGGACTTTACAAAGCTGTCGATTTTCCAACACACATTAGAAAATCAAATACTTTTAACACAAGAAATGCATTAATAAAAAAACACATAGAGACATAAGGGGCAGAGACCAATATCTATAAACGTCAATATGTTTTTTTCTCATTCCAGTGATGTCCACGAATCTCTGGTTTTGTAGTCAACGGAATAGAAAGTTAAAACCTGCAGGGAAGAAAGACACATTGGAATCGAGTAATAGCATCAAGATATATTTATATGATTATTAAACATGTTATTTATCTGAATTCAGGACAGTACATATTTATCAATGTGTCTGCAAACAGCGTCAACATAAATAAACATGCTGGGATTAGCACGTTAGCTAAATTGCATCCATTGTCCTAAGGCAGGTAAGAGACACACAAACACACAGTTAGGTAAAAGTACAAACAATTAGTCAACAAGCAAGACAAAAAGAATTGAAAAGAGGAGAGAAAGTCCAAGGAAGAGCAGATTATCAATGGGAGCTCGACTGCTTTGACTCCTGTAAATGTTAGCCTCTGACGGATGCCACCTTTAGGCTGAATTTAGTCCTGCGCCTTTGTATATTACATGTATTATCTTTTGCAAACATGAACGAAATGGCTTTGTGAGGCTTTGGGCTGAGAGCAGATCCACTGAGGTGAGGGCGGTCCTCTCTCGGAGACAGAGGCCATAAATAAATACACACATGTGGAAGCTAGATGTCATGAGGTGGAACAAGGAAGGAACCGAAATGCAGGAATGCGAAAAGAATATTGACTATGAAATTAAGAGTCAGGTAAGATAAACACAAACCTGGACTATTCAGGTTTCTCTCTCCTATCAAATACACACTTTTTTGTGACTTTTTTCACTCAAATCAAATGGTAACGACATAAAAAACGAGTCCAGCCCTCCACAATTTGACGATATCTCAACGTGGACTCCTGTAAAAAAATTGCTTTCATGGAGTGATTCAAAATGGCCGCGGGGGCTGGAAAATGCGGGAAAAAAAACGCATCTGCGCATGCGTCAGCTGCGCGAGCCCCATTCATTTAAACAAGAGACTTCAAAAGTCCACAGCGACTAAACTAGACTGGTCCAGAACACCCCCCTCAGCATTGACACACATGTGGACCGGAGCTTTGGGCCAAGAGCCAACTTTTGGACCATCCTGTAAAGACGTTTTCGAGAGCTAAGAAGATGCTATATGTTAGCATTGGCTAATTCTTATTCCGGGTCCACCCCCACAGGCCCGGGGGGGTATTGCAGCATGTCAGCGCACGTCATTTTGGCAACTTATGAGCCGGGACCCGCCCCCACTGGTTGATCCTCGACATTTATAGATATTGGTCTCTGCCCCTTATGGACCAATGTCTCTATGTGTTTGTTACTATTGCGTTATCTGTTTGGTTCTCTGATCTGTTGTTCGCAAATCAACATTTTTGTGAAGCGGCTGCTGTTGTGATTCATGGCTACACAGAAATACATGAAATTGAATTGATTTGAATGTTTGTTTGGCTTTGAAAGTGACAATTAATTCACATTCTAATGCTTGAAATATTTACATGAACAATGCAGACAAAGAATGTATAAAATATTAAAACAAGAAACCCTAACCCTTATTTTGCTAGAAAGCCACTGTGTTTTGTGAGATCACACACACTTCACAGACACAGATTATTTACGACATCATTTAAGAACACGCGGCAAAAAAATACAATTGAATCCGTATCAAAACTGAAAGTAAGACACAATTGACACATATTTTACAATTTACCGACTTGTCTAAAAAACTTGGACCACTTCTGCTTCCTCTGGACTCCCTTTTCCAACAGTGAATACTCAAATTGGCAAATAAAACGTCTCAAGAGCATCATTCATATTAGCTTAGTGCGCTATCGTCAGCATAAAGAATGGATTGAAAACACACAGGCGTTCTATACCTTTGTCTATTGTCAACACACGCATTATACAAACCATAAATTAATATATTCCAACACATTCTCTGTCATCTCTGTGTGTTACGGCGCCTGCAGCTTAATGGCAAATGTGCAAAGCTAATGCAATATTGATGCAGTCTCTCTCTCTCAAGTACTTCCACAAACGATCGCACTGCCGCACTCCAGACTCTGCACCCGGCTCAAGTAAATTGGCGCAATTATCATCAAAATGCAAAGCCCCACGTTTGGCTAAAAGTGCGTCGCGGATGTTAGCTGGGACTCATTTGAAGCTCCGTCGGTCTAAACCACTTGAACTCGAGAGACGTTGTGAATTATTAAAGGAGCAGTGTGTAAAATGTGGCCAAAGGTGGTACTGCAGCCTCTCCCACTCTCCCTGACTCAGGTTGCCAGATATGCAGACGAATCCAGCTGGGACCATAACAGCTGAATAGACAAGAGTTTTGTCAACAACAAATCTATAACCAACACCTTTTTCACAAAGATAGAAATCCTGGTTTTATTCCTTGTTTTGTCGTTTGAGAATCATATCGAGACCTTTTTTTAGTTCTGCGCCACATGGTACTTTACCAGTGAGATTAGCTGCACACGGTGAGTTCTGGCGCCCGGATCACGGACTTTCTGATTGGTGAAACGGTGGAGGGCGGGATATCAAAATAAAAAACAAAAACAAGATTTAGAAGTTGTAAATCTCATTTTGAAATCCAAATATCTCTGAACTACTGTAATCAGTTAAAGAACTATTTGAAAAGATCAGGTTTTACTATTATGACAGATTAGGGCCCTTTAATGATGACAGATTAGGGCCCTTTAATGATGACACATTAGGGCCCTTTAATGATGACACATTAGGGCCCTTTAATGATGACAGATTAGGGCCCTTTAATGATGGCAGATAAGGGCTTTTTAATGAGGACAGATTAGGGCCTTTTAATGATGACAGATTAGGGCCCTTTAATCATGACAGATAAGGGCCTTTTAATGAAGACAGATTAGGGCCTTTTAATGATGACAGATTAGGGCCCTTTAATGATGACAGATAAGGGCCCTTTAATTATGACAGATTAGGGCCCTTTAATGATGACAGATTAGGGCCCTTTAATTGTGACAGATTAGGGCCCTTTAATGATGACAGATAAGGGCCTTTTAATGATGACAGATTAGGGCCCTTTAATGATGACAGATAAGGGCCCTTTAATTATGACAGATAAGGGCCCTTTAATTATGACAGATTAGGGCCCTTTAATGATGACAGATTAGGGCCCTTTAATTATGACAGATTAGGGCCCTTTAATGATGACAGATAAGGGCCTTTTAATGAGGACAGATTAGGACCCTTTAATGATGACAGATAAGGGCCTTTTAATGAGGACAGATTAGGGCCTTTTAATGATGACAGATTAGGGCCCTTTAATTATGACAGATTAGGGCCCTTTAATGATGACAGATTAGGGCCCTTTAATGATGACAGATTAGGGCCCTTTAATTATGACAGATTAGGGCCCTTTAATGATGACAGATAAGGGCCTTTTAATGAGGACAGATTAGGGCCTTTTAATGATCACAGATTAGGGCCTTTTAATGATGACAGATTAGGGCCTTTTAATGATGACAGATTAGGGCCCTTTAATGATGACAGATAAGGGCCCTTTAATGATGACAGATTAGGGCCCTTTAATGATGACAGATTAGGGCCCTTTAATTATGACAGATTAGGGCCCTTTAATGATGACAGATAAGGGCCTTTTAATGAGGACAGATTAGGGCCTTTTAATTATGACAGATAAGGGCCTTTTAATGAGGACAGATAAGGGCCCTTTAATGATGACAGATAAGGGCCTTTTAATGAGGACAGATAAGGGCCTTTTAATGAGGACAGATTAGGGCCCTTTAATTATGACAGATTAGGGCCCTTTAATCATGACAGATAAGGGCCTTTTAATGATGACAGATTAGGGCCCTTTAATGATGACAGATAAGGGCCCTTTAATTATGACAGATTAGGGCCCTTTAATGATGACAGATAAGGGCCCTTTGATGATGACAGATAAGGTCATTTTAATGAGGACAGATTAGGGCCTTTTAATGATGACAGATTAGGGCCTTTTAATGATGACAGATTAGGGCCCTTTAATGATGACAGATAAGGGCCCTTTAATGATGACAGATTAGGGCCCTTTAATGATGACAAATTAGGGCCCTTTAATTATGACAGATTAGGGCCCTTTAATGATGACAGATAAGGGCCTTTTAATGAGGACAGATTAGGGCCTTTTAATGATGACAGATAAGGGCCTTTTAATGAGGACAGATAAGGGCCCTTTAATGATGACAGATAAGGGCCTTTTAATGAGGACAGATAAGGGCCTTTTAATGAGGACAGATTAGGGCCCTTTAATTATGACAGATTAGGGCCCTTTAATCATGACAGATAAGGGCCTTTTAATGAGGACAGATTAGGGCCTTTTAATGATGACAGATTAGGGCCCTTTAATGATGACAGATAAGGGCCCTTTAATTATGACAGATTAGGGCCCTTTAATGATGACAGATAAGGGCCCTTTGATGATGACAGATAAGGTCCTTTTAATGAGGACAGATTAGGGCCTTTTAATGATGACATATTAGGGCCCTTTAATGATGACAGATAAGGGCCTTTTAATGAGGACAGATTAGGGCCTTTTAATGATGACAGATAAGGGCCCTTTGATGATGACAGATAAGGTCCTTTTAATGAGGACAGATTAGGGCCTTTTAATGATGACAGATTAGGGCCCTTTAATGATGACAGATTAGGGCCTTTTAATGATGACAGATTAGGGCCCTTTAATGATGACAGATAAGGGCCCTTTAATGATGACAGATTAGGGCCCTTTAATGATGACAGATTAGGGCCCTTTAATGATGACAGATTAGGGCACTTTAATGATGACAGATTAGGGCCCTTTAATGATGACAGATTAGGGCCCTTTAATGATGACAGATTAGGGCCCTTTAATGATGACAGATTAGGGCCCTTTAATGATGACAGATTAGGGCCCTTTAATGATGACAGATAAGGGCCCTTTAATGATGACAGATTAGGTCCCTTTAATGATGACAGATAAGGGCCTTTTAATGATGACAGATTAGGGCCCTTTAATGATGACAGATAAGGGCCCTTTAATGATGACTTAACATGAAAATCTTACACATTGCTACTTTAAAGGATGTGTTTGTGTTTTTGTCTCTCTCAATTGTTGTTTTTCTCCCCAGGTCAAACAGAGAGTGCCAGATCGACCAGCACCACAGGAACCAGTGCCAGTACTGCCGCCTCAAGAAGTGTTTCCGTGTGGGCATGCGCAAAGAAGGTAAGTCTGTGTGCGCCGTTTGCTCTGTCAGTTTAATTCTATAGCACAGTTTATACACAAGGAAATTCATAAATAATCACAGTACATGATAAAATCCTTCAGCTGTAGCACAGATAAACAGAACTGGATTTGAACATTGTCAGACAAGAAGCCTGTCTCACATTTTCAGGAAGACTGTTCGGGATTTTAGCTGCGTGAATCTGAAACACTGCCTCCTCATGTTTAGTCCTGACTCTGGGACCAGCAGGAGGCCAGTCCCTGTGCTCCTCAGAGTCCCAGCAGGGGGCCAGTCCCTGTGCTCCTCAGAGTCCCAGCAGGAGGCCAGTCCCTGTGCTCCTCAGAGTCCCAGCAGGAGGCCAGTCCCTGTGCTCCTCAGAGTCCCAGTTGGTTCATATGGCACTAACATGTCACAGATGAACTTTGGTGCGAGGCCATGGAGAGACTTGGAACGACCAGAGCTGCTTTAAAGTCTCTTCTCTGAGCCACAGGAAGCAGAGACCTGAGACCAGGACTAATGTGATGGTACTTCCTGGTTCTAGTCTAGACTGGAGCTGCAGTGTTTTGAATAAACTTGCTGTGTTAGAACAGGTCTGGAAAGACTAGTGAGAAAGCCTTTATAGAAGTCTAACCTACTGGAGACAAAAACATGAATAAGAATCTAAGTCTAGGAGGCTAGGAGTGTGACGATATATCGATTTTTCGATATATCGCGATACTTCCTCCCGCCATCGATTATCGATATGCATTTACCAAGTATCAATTTTGAAAAAATAAAAAATTAAGTATCAATACTTAATATAGGGCCATTCCATTTATCATTAAATAAATAAAGTGGTTTTTTTTTCACTTAACATTTTTCTCTTTCTTGTATGCCATATATTGGCCTATGGTATATTGCTGACCAGTATATCGATAATCGTCATATCGTGATATAATCGTTATCGTGAGCTTTGTATCGCGTATTGTATCGTATCGTTAGGTACCCTTAGGCTCCCACCCCTACTTTAGACATTATGTTTTTAGATGGTAAAAAGCAGCTGATGTTTCTGATTTGATGTGGCTGTTAAAATGTACGCCTGCATTAACTCTAACTTTCTGACCTAGAAACAACTAAGTGAGCACAATTTATGAGCAAAAAGCAAGAAAAAATATCTAACTTTATCATGAGAAGCAGTTATAAAATACTGTGTATTCTTGACTGTTTACATCTGTACATGTTAGCATCACAAGGGTACGGGATTAATAATACAAAACATTTCTGTGATTATTGCACCATAGCTGAGTGGATAGCAACAAGGTCCTGGGTTCGAATCCCGGTCGGAACAGGGAGTGAGGTTTGCATGTTCTCCCTATGTGTGCGTAGGTTTCCTCTGGGTGCTCCGGTTTCCCATACCACTAAAAACATGTCCAATAGGGAGACAAATGCCCACAACTGTAAACCGCTTTGTGACAGTGAAAGGCACTATATAACAGCAGCATTAGCCTCACACTTATCTCTGAGCTCTCCGTCATGTGTCAGCTCAGAGTGAGACCGGGGGAATCCATGACAATGACACCTGCGGACTAGAGCCGTAAACCCCCCTGGTCCTGGAGAAACATCTGCCACCGCGGCCCTAAGCTCAGATCAATACTGTCAATATGCAGCACAATGAACAGCGTGGGAAAGTCTGCCCCGAGGAGGACTCACCGCTAAACAAATGAGTCCAAGTGGTTTCCAGATCCAGGTTTGTGTTTATTAGTGCGCACCAGACGAAGAGAAAAGGTACAAGACGCATCTGTCACCGTGAAATAAATCAACAAAAACAGTTTCGACACAAGTGAAGGGTCGTTAAAGTGTTTTGTTCAGACTGAGAAGAGCTGAAAGAAGCTGTTAGCATGTAGCACTTCAGCTGTTAGCAGTTAGCACTATAGTCGGCAGAACTTCCCTCTTCTGCCAAAGGGAAGAAGCTGGAACATGGCTTTTCCAGGGGCCAGAAGGGTCATTGATTATTCTAAGAGCTGGATTTCAGATGGTTTCATAAAATACCTCCAGAACTAACAGTCCTCTTTCAGAGTGGAGCACATCTCTGGTGTCTCTCTGGTGTCTCTCTGGTCTCTCTCTGGTCTGTCTCTCTAGTCTCCCTCTGGTCTCTCTGGTCTCCCTCTCTGGTCTCTCTCTCTGGTCTCTCTCTGGTCTCTCTCTGGTGTATCTCTGGTCTCTCTGTTCTCCCTCTCTGGTCTCTCTCTCTAGTCTCTCCCTGGTCTCTCTGGTCTCTCTTCTCTCTGGTCTCTCTCTCTAGTCTCTCCCTGGTCTCTCTGGTCTCCCTCTCTGGTCTCTCTCTGGTCTCTCTCTCTAGTCTCTCCCTGGTCTCTCTGGTCTCTCTCTGGTCTCTCCCTGGTCTCTCTGGTCTCTCTCTCTAGTCTCTCCCTGGTCTCTCTCTGGTCTCTCTCTAGTCTCTCCCTGGTCTCTCTGGTCTCTCTTCTCTCTGGTCTCTCTCTCTAGTCTCTCCCTGGTCTCTCTGGTCTCCCTCTCTGGTCTCTCTCTGGTCTCTCTCTAGTCTCTCCCTGGTCTCTCTGGTCTCTCTCTCTAGTCTCTCTCTCTGGTTAAAGACAAAATGTACAGCTAGATCCACGTTCGATGCACACTGAGGTCGTCTTGCACAGTTACTCCAATGGGGTTTCACTGCAATTGGCAAACTAATTCAATCTTGAACCAGTTGTTGAACCATAAGTCGACACAGTACTTACAGTGACAGGCCTGAGATATGAAACGGTCGCCATTTTGAGTCTACAGTGCGCCTCTAAACACACAGCCCCCGTTCTGCTGCGTTCTCGTTGTAAATTCCTCCCGAGCTGCAGTTTCTCCTCTCAGTGATTTATAAGTGTTTGCTCGTCCCTATTATCGCCGTGAAGCAGCCTAAACGGAGCCTTTACTGCCCCCTCCCCTCACCCCTCACCCCCAGCTGCAGAGGGGTCAGAGGTCAGGGGTGTAATGGGGCTCCAGATGAATATATACATGTGCAACGGTCCAGGGCTGGTCCGACCCGGTGTGAGCCGCCGCCGTTCAAGGACAGAGCGGAGACCGGTCCTTCTGGGAGCAGAGGGGAAGAGAGAGAGGGCTGCACCGCTCTGTAGGGCTGAGGAAAGTGTGGAAGAAATAGAATTGAGACCGAATGAGATAAGATAGACGTTATTGATCTAACACTGGAGGAATGAACATGTCACATTAGGCACAGATAGATTGTGCAAAAAGACAGAAATGAACACGTTAAAAGGTTATAAGTCTAGTCTGTGCTGGATATAATTAGGTACAATGAAACGTGCCAATAGCAGCTGGTTCCTCAGCCCTAGTGCAGGTGACTTAAATATAACTTACTTACTAAATATAAGTATGATTAGTTTTAGTATCAGTAAAAGTATTAGTGGTGGGGAAAACGATTGTGTTCAGTATCGCGCAATTACAAGACAACAAGAATGTATTAGCCATTTGCAGTACAACCACAACTGTGCAAGGCCACCCCAGGGTGCACCGTAGTTCACACCAGAGCTCCTGCCACAGTTGTGATTAAATGGATACAGTAGATTAAAGTATTGCAATATGTACTTAAATTAATATCACTTTTGTGTTTTCTGAGTTTGCTCTGGTCATTTGCGTATTGCATCCACAAGGGGGCGCCTGTTCAGAGAATAACAATATCTGTCCTGTAATAAAGTCATCTCGGAGACTTAACAAAACCATTGAAATCACCAACACATATCAGAGAATCAACAGTTAGTAGACAAAATACACACATATGAATTGGTCCATAGGGAGAGAGCAATGTCCATGAATGTTGATAAATGTCATACATGTTGTAGAATGTTAAAGTGTCCAGGCTCCCAGGCGGGTCAAGTCATATTTAGTCTTATTGAACCATCTACGTCTACAAGAAAATAGCAAATGTTTCTTGAGCTTTACAAAGACAATGTACAGACGATAGAAATTATAGCCCAAATAGTGTCGCTTTATCCAATAGTTATTGAATTGATGAAGAGTCATACATTCTCTGAGTTATCTAGAGTCTGATTCTGAATGAGGAGGCAGCGTTTCTGATCTGTCACATGTATCTTCTCTTCTTTTACTTTGCTTGCTGTCACGTTTGCACCTGTAACATTGAAATCCCCGACTGTGGGACGCACAAATGTTTATCTCATCTCCCTTTAACTTAATGTCCCGTCCTCGCCCCCCCCCTCCCGTCCCGTCCTCCCCTGTGCCCCCATCCCTCACCACAGCAGTCCAACGCGGCCGTGTCCCCACTCAAGCCAGCCACAGCCCCTCCATCACACCCATAGGGGGCAGCGGAGGCCTGGGAGGAGACTTCTACAACAACAACAACAACGGCGGCGGCGGTGGCGGTCAGCCCGTGTCCGAGCTCATCTCTCAGCTGCTGCGCGCCGAGCCCTACCCCAACAGCCGCTACGGGCATCAGTACGGGCAACAGAACGGCCCCGACAACGCCATGGGCATCGACAACATCTGCGAACTGGCCGCACGCCTGCTCTTCAGCATCGTGGAGTGGGCGCGCAACATCCCGTACTTCCCCGAGCTCCCTGTGTCTGACCAGGTGAGCGCACACACCTGTCCTTACAAAGAACACGGCAAGAAGGGATGAAAAATATGTCAATTTGAGCACGTTCTGACTGAGCCTTAAAACAATATTGGGACAAAGCAAAATTATCTATAAAAGAAATGTCTCCTTTGGAATGAGGAAAAAAGCATGGGTGTCAAAGTCAAGGCCCGGGGACCAGATTCGGCCTGGGAATGAATTAGTTTGGCCCCCAAGATGATATTTGATTAGTATTAGAACCAGCCCTCACAGACTCATAGCAAATTTGCCCTCTTATGTATTTGACTTTGACATCCCTGAAATAAAGTAACAGTTCTTGAAATCAGATTTAATGGATTTGTCCCATTGAAGAATCTAGATTTAAATTGACATAAACAAAAATCACTCCATTCAAACAATTATATCCTCATATATCAAACCCCAGGATCAAAAAAAGCACTGAACCTCGGTTTTATTTACGGCTTTTTGACGCTTCACATGTCATTATTCTTTCACTCCAAACACAGTGGTGATAAACTACTGCTGTAGCCACCGCTGCCCTGGGGCACACTGACAGAAGCGAGGCAACCAGTCTGTGCCATTGGCCTCTATTATCCACACACACACACACACACACACACACCAGACTTATTCTATTGTGAAGGGTCTTGCCTGAGGACACAACAGTTTGACACTTTTGTTAGAAGTTCAAGTAAAGTATTTGCTCATCTCTCAGACCACTCTAAATATAAACACAGACAGTAAGTAATGACTCTGGCATTTTTACAGACCAAGGTCACCCAAAGCGCTTTACAGTGTTCAGAAATCAGATGTTTTTCCATTCACACACGTTGATGACGGAAGCGAGACGCCGGTCCATCAAAGCCTCCGACCAAACACCAGTCACTCACTCATTACATTCAGACCTGATGTGCATGTTTTCAGTAGTAGGGGAAACCAGAGCACACGGCGACACGGGAAGAACATGCAAACTCCACCCAGAAAGGCCCTGTTATGACCGGGATTCGAAACTAGGACCTTTATGCGTAGAAGCGAGAAGGCTAACCACTCAGCCACCGTGACGCCCAAGTAATAATAAAACTGTCCTCTGTCCCAGGTGTCTCTGCTGCGTCTGAGCTGGAGCGAGCTCTTCATCCTGAACGCGGCGCAGTCGGCTCTTCCTCTGCACATGGCGCCGCTTCTCGCCGCCGCAGGTTTTCACTCGTCGCCGATGTCTGCGGAGCGCGTGGTCTCGTTCATGGACCAGGTGCGGGTCTTTCAGGACCAGGTGGACAAGCTGACCAGGCTGCAGGTGGACTCTGCGGAATACAGCTGCCTCAAGGCCATCGCCCTCTTCTCTCCAGGTACCTGTGTGTGTGTGTGTGTGTGTGTCTGTATCTGTATCTGTATGTGTGTGTCTGTATCTGTGCGTGCGTGTCTGTCTGTCTCTCTGTGTGTGTGTGTGTGTGTCTGTGCATGCGTGTCTGTATCTGTGTGTGCGTGTCTGTCTGTCTCTCTGTGTGTGTGTGTGTCTGTGCATGCGTGTCTGTATCTGTATCTGTATGTGTGTGTCTGTATCTGTGTGTGCGTGCCTGTGTATCTATATCTGTATGTGTGTGTCTGTCTGTCTCTGTGTGTGTCTGTGCGTGCCTGTCTGTATCTGTATCTGTATGTGTGTGTCTGTATCTGTGTGTGCGTGTGCGTGTGCGTGTGCGTGTCTGTGTATCTGTATCTGTATGTGTGTCTGTCTGTCTCTCTGTGTGTGTGTGTGTGTGTGTGTGTGTGCGCGTGTGTGTGTATCTGTATCTGTATGTGTGTGTCTGTATCTGTGTGTGCGTGCCTGTGTATCTGTATCTGTATGTGTGTGTCTGTCTGTCTCTCTGTGTGTGTGTGTGTGTGTGTGTGCCTGTCTGTATCTGTATGTGTGTGTCTGTATCTATGTGTGCGTGTGCGTGTCTGTGTATCTGTATCTGTATGTGTGTCTCTCTGTCTCTCTGTGTGTGTGTCTGTCTGTCTGTGTGTGTGTGTCTGTCTGTGTATCTGTGTTTGTGTCTGTATCTTTGTCTGTGTCTGTGTGTTTGCGTCTGTCTGTTTCTCTCTGTTTTTGTCTGTATCTGTATAATAATAAAGAAGCAGGTGGTGTGGTTCACGGTGCCGAAGCCAAATGATAACTATTATGCATTACTTTTTGGCTAAAGTTCCCGGTAAATTTCCAGGGACGTTAAAGGCACACCGCGGACTTTGTGACCTAAAGAGTTGACACATATGAGTTATTTTATATGAATACTTGGGCCAATATACAGCGCTTGACACTTGCAATGCTCCGAGCGGGGCTGCCCTCTTGAAATACCGCCCATGTAAGTTTCGAGCAGACGGACCGTCTGCCACCAGGTCACGTGACTTGGAAGAAAGACTTGCTTTACGGCTACAGGCGCTGATATACTCATGGAGCTAAGGCTTTTGCTACTCATTTTTCACCTGCTCGACTCCTGGTCATGGCTGAGGCAAGGAAAAATTTTAAACCTAAAGAGGAAACGCGAAAGGGATCGTGCTGTAAGCTGCATGTCTGTATGAGCGCTGCTGTTCACCTGGTTCCTGGATGTCATCGACCGCAAAGATGTCATTCCACGCAGCACGAGCTAGACGCAGAACTCCCTCATCCAGGATATAGAAGTCCATGTGTGGTAGATTACTAATGCAGCGGTCTGGAGGCTGACCACAGCAGAGTCTCTCAATATCTGTAGGCATGTCTCTACAGTTTGAACACACACACCAGTGCATGCTGTCTGAATACACACTCAAAAGACACCGGCTGACTGTTTGACTTTTGCGACAGTGCTGAGTTGCTTGTGGCCACTAGGGGCGCTAAACGTGAAAGTTGCAGGTCTAGCGCCCCTAGTGGCCAAGAGTTACACGGTGTGCCTTTAAACAATTTAAAAATGTGATCAATGTATTTTCCCATATTGTCATCAAAGCGTTGTAGAGATGTTTAGGTCTGTTCTCTTCTCAAAAAAGAGGATTTTACATAATGTGTTTGAGGAGCTAACGTGGCTAGTAAGATTTCAATACTGCGGTCTCCAGGCCTTTAGCTTACTTTGGCTCCACCTTCTGGCCGAGTTGTGTAAACGCCCTGAGGAGCTTCACTTTGCTGCTAAAATACAGCTCAGTTTTTTCTGATTTTGCACTTAACGTGTGAATAATGCACCAAAGAGTTGCAGTGTGGAGGATTATATAAGCAGCCCACACTCAGCGGAGGAAGGACCTGCTTTAGTCCTCCCCTCAGTCTCTGCTTCTGTCTGTAACTGTAACTTTCGCTCTCTCTCTAGTCTCTCTCTAGTCTCTCTCTGGTCTCTCTCTGGTCTCTCTCTGGTCTCTCTCTGGTCTCTCTCTGGTCTCTCTTTTGTCTCTCTCTCGTCTCTCTCTGGTCTCTCTCTGGTCTCTCTCTGGCCTCTCTCTGGCCTCTCTCTGGTCTCTCTCTGGCCTCTCTCTGGCCTCTCTCTGGTCTCTCTCTGGTCTCTCTCTGGTCTCTCTCTGGTCTCTCTCTGGTCTCTCTCTGGCCTCTCTCTGGCCTCTCTCTGGTCTCTCTCTGGCCTCTCTCTGGCCTCTCTCTGGTCTCTCTCTGGCCTCTCTCTGCAGCATATGAAGAAATGTTTTTTAATCAATGTGAAAAATTTAAATATTGCAAATGATGTCTTTGTAACTCATTGACTGCCACTGACGTATTTGTCTGAGACCCTTTGTTCGACTACGGATTACAGGACAATAAAAATAGCTAAAAACAAACTTATTTTTGCTGATCAAAGTAGACAGTCCAGTCTTTCAGAATCTGGTTTCACGTTTCATAGTCTTAGGAAATAATATTCTGTGGGTCTTGAGAATCAGTGAAATCATGAAAAACGGCTGGCAGTCAATGAGTTTCAAAGTGGGAAAACACCTCCATCTAGTGGCAGAAGTGTAAATATATATTCTGCTTTTTCTGCTATTTTGGTTTAAATTGCGTATTGGAAAAACTCTAAAAGAGACAATTTTTCAAAATATGTGCGTTTTAAATATCCCCCCCCCCCCAACCTTACAAACCACTGACCTCCCCCATCTCTCCCCCTCAGACGCCTGCGGCCTCACCGACCCCGTGCACGTGGAGTCCCTGCAGGAGAAGGCGCAGGTGGCTCTGACCGAGTATGAGCGCATGCAGTACCCCAGCCAGCCACAGCGCTTCGGCCGCTTGCTGCTGCGCCTGCCCGCCCTGCGCGCCGTGCCCGCCAGCCTCATCTCGCAGCTCTTCTTCATGCGCCTGGTCGGAAAAACCCCCATTGAGACCCTCATCCGCGACATGCAGCTCTCCGGCAGCTCCATCTCCTGGCCCTACGTCCCGGGACAGTAGCCGCTTCCACCTCCTCGCTGAAAAGCTACTCGTTTGTGCGCATTTTTGCCTCGTAAACAGGACTAGAAAGGTTTGATTGGAAGACCTGAGAGATGCCAGACCTTCTAGCTAGGCTTAAAAATCGCGCAAACGCCCTTAAGAACTGAGAATGAAACTCTATGGAAGGATATTGGGATATTTTGCGATATTTTCCCGGATGCTTCACCGGTACACTGACTGATCCTTCGAGCCGGATTAATGCTAACGCCACAAAAACTGAAGCTACGTGGAAGACTTTTTTGGGAGCTCGTTGTGTGAGACGATGTTATCAAACTGTGACATGAATTTAAAGCTTTCAAGACTTCAACATTTGGTAAGAAAAACAACAAAAGAATCACCAAAGTTTTTACCATACGAGTCAAAAACTCAACATTTCCCATCACCGTAAAAAATCGGATGGATACCTCAACTTTTGTCGGTTCAAACGCGGATCACCGGAAATCGCCTTCTTTTATGATGACTGCCTTGTTTTTCATTGTGGGCAACAGGGGGCGCTGTTCTGACATGTCTGTTCCGTCTTCTATCATGATTTTATGTGTTTTATATGATCGGCTGAATCGTGTGAATAGGTTTGGGATTTTTTTCTCATTTTTTTGGGTGGGAGAACTCTGCTGTTTTTAAATTTAAAAGAAAAAAAGAAAGAAAAACACTTCTAGATTATGATGCTGCAAAAAGAGGGACTTCTGGAGTTAAAATTGTGTTGATCTTGAGTAGAATCATGCTAAGTTTGTGGTTGATTTAAGGATATTTTTAACAGGTTTTCAAATCTGCAGCTGAATGTACTCTACACTGCAAAAAGTGACGAAAGACAAGTAAAAAAGGTCTGGAAATAGTTCTTGAAATAACACTAAATGACAAATCTTGTTTTAACGCAGTCAGAATTCAAGCATTTATCGCCTCATATTTCACATTCAGATTCATTTATTTGCCATTTGCAGTAAAACCACATTGGAAAAACTGTGCAAGACTACCCTAGTGTGCACCAGACAGAGAAGACGGCACACACCAGAGCTCTTGCCACGCCGCCGTCTTTTTGCAGTGTATAGTCACTTTCGGAGCCTGCGTCACTGTGACATGGTTTAGTAGGAGGCTCTTTTGCGGCTGCGATGAACTGCCAGCTTTTTTAACAGCTTTAAAATATATATCACTTCGGAGTTTTGGCTCAAAACATTTCATTACATTCTAGTTGAGACAGACCTCACTGGACAGACAGCACATAATCGCACATTTACACTGCTTCAATAACCTGTCATCAAAATTCACTTCAATTTCTTAAAAGGGCCTAATTCAGCTGCTGAGTCGACTGCTGTTGTGAGGGGTTCAAAATTAATGTTAATTCACCAACACCAGATTAGAGAAGAGAACTTTTTGATGATTGTTACTGGCTCTCAGACCAATCTTAGCTTGTATCAATAGAAATAAATGTTTTATGTTTTGGATTCTTTGTATTGGATTCTGAGACTAATATTTCACTCTGAATGTGTTGATCTTGGGCTGGCCGTTCATTCTCGGCAATGTGTCTTGCCCAAGGACACAATGACAGTTTTGCACATTACAGCCGCCCCACCGTGCACCTGCTGCTCCCAGAGGTCTCCCATCACAGTACTAACCAGGCCCTGCCCTGCTGAAAGCCAGATCCCATCAGACCTCTGAAGCTCCATAGGGGGTGGATGACTAAGGTTTATAAATGTTGATAAAAGTCCTTAGACCTCACAATGTCATTTCTCCACCGTGAGACGAATAACGGAATATCTCATCTTCATTTTCAATCTTTTGGGCCAATAATGTTTCCCTGAATTCAAAATACACAAATAGTCAAAATTCACAAATATTCAAAATGCACAAACGGGGTTCAGTCTTAATAAGTATGGAATTTTGAAACACTGTTTTCTAGACCTTGAAAAGTCTTCATAAGAATTTTGTGTGAAAGTCTTAATAAAGTTTGGGGAAAAGATTTTTGGTAGAATTTTACAGTGTGCTCAAAGGCGTTGTGGACTGAGAAATGGGACGGTAGGCGATAAAACTATAATTGTACTGGTCACGTACTGTATTAGCCTGACTGATCTAATCAACGCTAGCTTAGCCGAGTCTGGCACATGTTTGTGATGTCACTGCTGAGGTCTGTTGACACATAGTGGGCCTAGTGGTCAACAGAAATGGGTCTTGGGGAAAAAAAAATCAGTTTTTAAAAAGTGTGGAAAAAGTCTGGAATTTTAATTTGGAAAAAGAGCAAGCGCCCTGATACATTTTCAAAAAAACACAAATAATAAAAATTCGCAAATATTCAAAATGTGCAAATATTCAAAGTGAGCAAATATTCTACATTCGCAAATATTAAAAAAACACAAATATTCAAAAAAAACGCTAATATTCAAAATACGCAAATATTCAAAAAACACAAAAATTCGAAAAACACAAATTCGAAAAACACAAATATTCAAAAAACACTAAAATCCAAAAAACACAAATATTCAACAAACAAAAATATTCAAAAAACACAAATATTCAAAATGAACAAATATTCTCTAAGATGAACTCATTTTTTCCTCGGACAGAAGCCACTTTTTGCAGCCTCTAGTTTACTTACTTACTTTTCCTTGTATCGTTGTAAATATTTCTCGGCCAATTTACGTTCTGCATGTTTTCGGCCAACTTTCTGTTTTCTTTTATCCTTTCTTAAATGTGTTGCTTTTGCTGTTACTCTTTATATGTTTTCACAATATATGTGTTTTTATTCTTAAAAAAAAATTCCCTCTACCATTTTGAAGACGAGTCAAAGACAAGTTCTGTGCGAGAGGTGTAGAAACCGGTTCAGACTCAGCAGAGGCCGCACTGGGGGGACTTTAAATAATTTATTAGTCAAAGGAGTTGATGGAGCCACATTCATACGACCAACACACTACACACAGTTTAAACTAATACTAATAACTAATACTAATACTGTGATCTTGTTCCATCCAAAAATATTAAGGTCATGTCCGAAAAAATGGCAAAAAAATCCTCCCGCTTTGACTTTTTTTTTGTCAATTTTTTGTCAGCGTTTAGCGTCCCCAACAGAAAGTGGGGATTTTCCGATGAAGAGGTCTTACAGTCATGGAAAACCCGGATATAGGCATGGAATATTCAAGAGTGGTGAATACACATACACATCAAGGCGTGCAGCAAACTACTTCCGCGCTCCTCATAGGCAAAGTGGGGTTAAGTGTCTTGCCCAAGGACACATCGACAGCAGACATCAATGGGAGTCGGTGGAGAAGGTTTTGCAGCGGGCTCGAAACCCACAACCTTCAGGCTCAAAGGCCAATGCTCTACCAACTGAGCCACTGTCGACCCATAATGTGAACATCCAATCTCAAGGCCTGGGAATAGATTTGGAATTGGAATTTGGAACACTCAAAACTTATAAATTATAGTAATTTCTTGCGTAGAGAAATGGCAATAATTTCACGCACCATGCACCCGCGCAGTGACGTAGCCTCATGCTAACTTGTTTACCCCCAAAGCTAACCCGGCACACAGTCATTTCAGACCTGAGAATACACTTTTTCCAACAATTTAGATCCATCACATCCAGCCCTATGTCCTCGAGAGCTGTTTTTAACCTGGGTTTGAACATTGTCAGAGAAGAGGCCTGTCTCACATTTTGAGGAAGACTGCTCCAGATTTTAGCTGCGTGAATCTGAAATGCAGCCTCCTCCTTTTAGCTGAGTTTACCCACTGTGAACTTTTGAATTAACACTTTTTTTTCAGCCTTGACTCAGGCTCGTGCCGCTGACTGATGCGCCAAAGTGTTTTTTTCACCATTTTCCTGTGGGAGGGGCTACTTGGCGGCCATTTTGCAAAAGTAAAATACATTTCATCAGAAGAAATATACATTTTTACAGTCTATGGTTAAAACCCCCAGTGCCCGTTCTGCTGCTCCTCTCTGAGAGTTTAGATCTGGTTTTTCGCGCCAAAAAACGACCAATAAAGTTTTACCTCATCAATATCTACGTGTCTCCAAAAGTCCATCCACCTTCGCCGACCTCAAAACGAAGAGATGCAAGCATTTATAACCAGAAAAGGAAGATTTTTAATGAAACGGGTGAGATTGGAGATTTGCCGAGAGGCTCATGTCAAAAAATATGATTGATTAAATGTTTCCCTATATTTGTGTTTTGAAGATTTCATGTGTATTATAAGAAAAGGCAGATTACGGCGTCGGATTTGTTCTTTTTTGTTCTTTTTCTGAAGACTTGAAAAAGTGTCTGTGTTGCATCTGTACGAGGAATGCCAAATAAACTGCGACATGTAACTTTTGTGGAAATGGGTCAAATCTCAATTCAATTATAGCAACTTTTGAAAACGAATTCATAATAAGGTTTAGTCAGTGTGTTGTGGTGGAGAGGGAGCAGCGTCTGTAGTCAGAGCTCTATCACAGACGGTTATGGTGGAGAGGGAGCAGCATCTGCAGTCAGAGTTCTATCACAGACTGTTGTGGTGGAGAAGGAGCAGCGTCTGCAGTCAGAGCTGTATGAGACTGTTGTGGTGGATAGGGAGCAGTGTCTGTAGTCAGAGCTCTATCACAGACTTGTGGTGGAGAGGGAGCAGCGCGTGCAGTCAGAGCTTTTTCAGGCTGTTGTGGTGGGGAGGGAGCGGAGCCAACTCTGGGCACCAGCAGGAGGCCAGTCCCTGTGCTCCTCAGAGTCCCAGCAGGAGAACGGTCCCTGTGCTCCTCAGAGTCCCAGCAGGAGGCAAGTCCCTATGCTCCTCAGAGTCCCAGCAGGAGGCCGGTCCCTGTGCTCCTCAGAGTCCCAGCAGGAGGCCGGTCCCTGTGCTCCTCAGAGTCCCATCAGAAGGCCAGTCCCTGTGCTCCTCAGAGTCCCATCAGAAGGCCAGTCCCTGTGCTCCTCAGAAGACCAAAAGGACGAGATTGTGGATTCAAGCGTCCACATGAGTTTCCTCTACAGAGTGGCTCCTTTAGAGATAGGGTGAGGAGCTCGGAGTAGAGCTGCTGCTCCATATCAATAGTATCCAGTAACATACAAATCAATACAAGTGAATTTTGAATAATTTATTGTACGAATGCAACACATTTATTTTATACTGATGTCAACAGAGCATTAAGAGCTTTATACACTGTCATGTGTATAACACTAAATGACTAAATGTATAACACTACAAAGACAACTTTCATGTTGTCTTTGAAATACTGAGAGCTGATTGGCCGATCTGAACATGTGACAGATGCCAATGATACATTCATAAATGTGAAAACCACTGATAACGTCAAACAACGAAGAAGCAGCTACATGGATTTGATCATAATTCTGTTTTTGTGGTTTCAAAGTTATTCCCTACACCTGCTTCAATTCCATTTATTCTTGTATCGCCCTAACTCACTGTTTACAAAGTTGTTGATTCGCCAACACAGATTAGAGAATCAAACAGAAGACCAATGTCCGTAAATGTCGTTCAGTGTCCTCCGGGATCAAAACCATCGAGAAAAAAACCCCAGAAACAGAGAGAGGGATCCACTTTGAAAATGGTTAAATAATTCTTAGTTTGGTTGTTCGATGATCCGCCTTAAAGATGCAAATACTGGATTGAAACATGCAAAAATCTGGAAAAATCTTGATTGTCGATTGTGCCGCTGACAAATCAATCAAGCTAAGTCCCGCCCCCTTTTTTCCATCGTCAGGGTCAAACCTTTTCATTAAAAAAACATACATGCTGAGAGCCAGGACTACTGCAGCTGGGGCGGGGGGTTATGCCTATGGTACATGTTTTTAGTGGTAAGGGAAACTGGAGCACCCAGAGGAAAACCCACGCAGACGCGGGGAGAACATGCAAACTGGGCACAGAGTCAGCACATGCCCTGGTCGTAGTTCTTCACCAGGCGTTTGATGTGGAACAGCTTTTGTCTCATTTCTCGGCATTGTTTCTTCTTGGCCTGATAATCCTCCGTCTGTAACAACACGGGACAGTATACTTCACTGTGTCATCCATCCAACTTCAGCACAGCCATTATAGACATGTTGTACCTTGTGTTTGACTTTATTTGCATTTACTGATCAAACATGGTTTTTAAATGTGTAAAAAACGTATGTTATTGGTGCTACTGTAGCTGGTGAGGTGATAAACATGTGTCATTCAGCCAACTTCAGCTCTGTTATAGATCCTTTTAAAGCTCAGGACAGGGCGATGTCTGGTGAACTCAAGTGGCCCTCTTACTAAAAAGTTTGGACACCCCTGGCTTAGAAGATTAACCCTAACTCTGCTTAAACGATTCATACTAGCTTCGTGTCTAATTAATACAACATTTAGCGATATAAAAGACAGATCATTGACTTTTTACATTTATAAACGGTTATGAGTGTGTGGTTTTATTCATAAACTCACTTTTTTCAGATCCTTCAGTCTGTTGTATTCATCTGCCACTCCCTGGAACCAGAAACATGTGTTTATTAAGCAACATTTAGTTTAGAGACGAAACATAGACAATATAAATGTTTATGTCTGAGCCCCACAAGGACCCGCTCTGGGGCCGGAGGTGTTCTGCTTGTTCTCTTCATCTTTCTGCGCTAAACTTAGTAAACTTTTGCACCAGATATAAATATGTCACAAAAAGATTATTCTAACTTAATCTGAAACTTGTGGTAGTTTTCTCATTATGAACCTTTAGATTTGATGTTTTTCAAAGATCTGAATCAGTTTACAACATGAAAAACATGATCCTGGACTGCATTTGATGGTATCAGATGGTGCAGGGTCTTGTAGTCCCACCTGGTACTTGTAGTCCCACATGGTCCTACCCTACCTGGTACTTGTAGTTCCACCAGGTCCTGCCCCACCTGGTATTTGTGGTCCCACCTGGTCCTGCCACATCTGGTGCTTTTAGTCCCGCCTGGTCATACCCCACCTGGTACTTGTAGTCCTGCCTGGCCATACCCCACCTGGTTCTAGTAGTCCCGCCTGGTCGTACCCCACCTGGAACTTGTTGTCCAACCTGGTACTTGTGGTCCCACCTGGTCCAACCCCACCTGATACTTGTAGTCCCACCTGGCCCTACCCCACATGGTACTTGTAGTCCCACCTGGTCCTGGCTCACCTGGTACTTGTAGGAGGAGGGCTGCAGCGTGTCCAGCTCACGGCTCAGCTTGTGCAGTTGGTCACTGATGTGGTCCATCTCTGAACACACACTTTTGTATCGACAAAGTTCTGAGTCAAAGTCTCTTTTGTACCGACGCCTCTGGTCCTCACTGAGGATCACTGAGTACTGACTACACACATATAAACACACAGATACACACACACACATACATACAGAGACACACACACAGATACACACACACACACACACAAAAGAATATGGTTAAAGCTACAGAACATTGCATCAGTTGTTCCCACAGATTGTGTTTCCACCTGAGCAGCTGCAGAGACAGGTCCTGGGTCTGTTCGTTGCCGGTGTCTCCGGTGGTGTATCCCGTCTCACACTGGGACTCAGCCGCCGCAGCAGCAGCAGGAGGCCTGGGCGACCCTGGGGGCTCCGGTGGGGGCTCCGGTGGGGTCTCTGGGGGGGGTCCTCGGTGAGGCCTGGTGCAGTGGGTGAGGTCTGAGCGGCTGCTGTGGGGACGAGTGAGACGCCCGCTGCTGTCTGCGGAGACACTGAACACACACAATTTGGTTTATTTTTGGTTTCTTTTTGGGCCTAAAGTTCACACAACGACAAGTTTAAAGAAAAAGCCTGTTACTTTTCAAATTGTGAGGATAGAAATATGTTTTTATAATGTAAGCACCAGTTAGACCCGCCCCCACAAGCTCCTGATTGGACAAAATTACAGGCCACTCACCATTGGTCTATCTCAGCCATGTTCAAACAAGTAAGTCAGGAAGTAAACATTATCAGTGCCTATCACAGATCAGAGTCTGCGATCCAGGAGGCACACACCTGCTGTACATGTTTTTAGTGGTCGGGTAAACCGGAGCACCTGGAGGAAACTTACACAGACACAGGGAGATCATGAACTTGTTGAACCCGATTTTTGATGTTTGTAGAGTTTTTTGGGACACAAAAGATACGCACAAAACATGTAAAGTATTTGATATCTGAGGTGATGTGAAATATACAACAAAAAATAATAATAATTGGCGACCGTGGCAGAGATTTAAAGGAGCAGTATGTACACATGTGGCCAAAAGTGGTACTGCAGCCTCTCCCACTCTCCCTGACTCAGGTTGCCAGATATGCAGATGAATCCAGCTGGGACCATAACAGCTGAATAGACAAGAGTTTTGTCAACAACAAATCTATAACCAACACCTTTTTCACAAAGATAGAAATCCTGGTTTTATTCCTTGTTTTGTCGTTAATGATTTGAGAATTATAACGAGACCTTTTTTAGTTCTGCGCCACATGGTACTTTACCAGTGAGATTAGCTCCATGCGGTGAGTTCTGGCGCCCGGATCACAGACTTTCTGATTGGTGAAACGGTTGAGGGCGGGACATCGAAATGAAAACAATAACAAGATTTAGAGGCTGGAAAAGTAATTCTGAAATTGAAATATCTGATGATTTATTAATGCCTTTTTGACAGATTAGGGCCCTTTTAGTAGTAGTAGTAGTAGTTTATTTGTTCAGTCACTTTTTCACAACTCAGACAATACAGATCATTTGAAAAAAATAAAGTAAAAAGTAAAGTTGACTGAAAGGGTTTAGGCTGAAGTGAAACACTTATAGAAGCCTAACCCTACTATAGCTTACTATAACCAGAACAACTAAAACAGCAACAATTAGCTTTCAGCATGGAAAAACAATAAAAAATACATATCTATATTTTTGCAGAAAAGACATGTAGGTAAATGAGGATTCATACAAATTGTTTTGATGATATAAACAATATTATAATGGTAATGATAATAATAATAATAATGTTGATAATTGCTTTAATATTATTTATTTATTCTAATTCTCTATATTTATTTATAACATGAATAAATATCTTTAATGATGACTCGACATGAAAACCACACATTTCTGGTTCACTGAGTCTGCTCTGACCTGGTGCAGTGATGCGGTCTGTGGAGGATCTCTGTGGACTGGTCTTGGGAATAGTCCAGTCTGAGCTCCGGCTCCGTGGTCTCAGAGAGGACCAGAGTGGGGGCCTGCTGTGTGCTGCGAGAGCCTCTGGTGGGACCGGGCTGCAGCAACGAGAGAGAGAGACAAACATGGAGGATGAATATGAAACAGTTCAATATGTCCTCTCTACAAACACGAAACTTCTACACTGCAAAAAGTGATGAAAAATAAGTCAGACTTTGGTCAAATTTGGCAAAATGTATCTGATTCTGACTGAGCCTTATTACAATTTTCCAACGGGACAAAGCCAAATTATCTTGTTTTAAAAAGATACAAGAAACATCTCCCTTGTAATGAGAAAATAAATCAACAGTTCTTGAAAAAAGACTAATTTACTAAACTTAAATCAGGATAAAAACCACTTGATTTAAGACATTACTACCGCATATTCAATCGCCCCAAACATACTACAGTAGCCACAGCTGCCCTGGGGCACACTGACAGAAGCGAGGCAACCAGTCTGTGCCATTAGCCCCTCCCACCACCAACCACTCACACACACACCAGACTCATTCTAATGTGGGGGAAGTGTCTTGCCTAAGGACACAGCCACAGTTTGGCACTTTACAGCCGCAGCCGCCCCACTGTGGCACCTGGAGTTGTCTCAAAGGTCTCCCATCACAGTACTTACCAGACCCTGCCCTGCTTAGCTTCAGAGGGGTGCTGGGACCTGGCTTTAAAACAGTACCCCACCTTTAAAACATTATTAGGGTTCATTTTGACACTGTCCACTTTAATGTTTTGTTTTTTTAAATTGTAACAGAATTTCTAAGATGTTTTTGGCATCAAGATGAAGAGATTGTTTATTGGTCCCACAGTGAGGAAATTTCAGTGTTGCATCGCACTTACAGAACAGTAGGAACGAGGAGCACACAGCACATGAGAAATGAATGGATCTGCAGCCTCAGTCCTGGGTCTACAGCCTCAGTCCTGGATCTACAGCCTCAGTCCTGGGTCTACAGCCTCAGTCCTGGGTCTACAGCCTCAGTCCTGGGTCTACAGCCTCAGTCCTGGGTCTGCAGCCTCAGTCCTGGGTCTACAGCCTCAGTCCTGGGTCTACAGCCTCAGTCCTGGGTCTACAGCCTCAGTCCTGGGTCTACAGCCTCAGTCCTGGGTCTACAGCCTCAGTCCTGGGTCTACAGCCTCAGTCCTGGGTCTACAGCCTCAGTCCTGGGTCTACAGCCTCAGTCCTGGGTCTACAGCCTCAGTCCTGGGTCTACAGCCTCAGTCCTGGGTCTACAGCCTCAGTCCTGGATCTACAGCCTCAGTCCTGGGTCTACAGCCTCAGTCCTGGGTCTGCAGCCTCAGTCCTGGGTCTACAGCCTCAGTCCTGGGTCTGCAGCCTCAGTCCTGGGTCTACAGCCTCAGTCCTGGGTCTGCAGCCTCAGTCCTGGGTCTACAGCCTCAGTCCTGGGTCTACAGCCTCAGTCCTGGGTCTACAGCCTCAGTCCTGGGTGTGACCCACATTCACTGCTCTGATGGAGGCGGGACTGAAGAGAAATGAGACGATGGAGAAAGGGGCGGAGCTTCAGAGGAGGATTTATGACACAATAATGTCCCAGACCTGAGAAAATCCTGCGCTCTCTTCAAACTGGACCCCAATACATGATGTCCATGAAAACCTTGACATTAGACCAGAGGAGCACAGGGACTGGCCCCGGGAAGTCATCCTGAAAATGTGAGACAGGATGTTTCTCTAATAATGTTCAAATCCAGGTTAAAATGAAGTAAAATCATTTGTCTGTCCTAAAACTGAAGGATTTTATCTCATTCTGATTATTTATGATTTATGCCTTGTGTTGTTTCTGTCCTGTTTTGTTAAGCACTTTGAGGCCAGTCCCTGTGCTCCTCAGAGTCCCAGCAGGAGGCCATCCCTGTGCTCCTCAGAGTCCCAGCAGGAGGCCAGTCCCTGTGCTCCTCAGAGTCCCAGCAGGAGGCCAGTCCCTGTGCTCCTCAGAGTCCCAGCAGGAGGCCAGTCCCTGTGCTCCTCAGAGTCCCAGCAGGAGGCCAGTCCCTGTGCTCCTCAGAGTCCCAGCAGGAGGCCAGTCCCTGTGCTCCTCAGAGTCCCAGCAGGAGGCCAGTCCCTGTGCTCCTCAGAGTCCCAGCAGGAGGCCAGTCCCTGTGCTCCTCAGAGTCCCAGCAGGAGGCCAGTCCCTTACAGTGGGATCACATCATCACTGAAACAGTGCTTCTCAAACAGAGGTTCTCGATCATCAACTCTCACGTTCCACAAAAGGTTTTTTTACTTTCTTTATGTGAACGTCGTCCTCCATCTTGACGTGATAAAACTAATGTCTCCGTTATTCTGCAGCTCGTCTGAATCTTTTATGGTCAGAGAGAGGAGACTGTGACATTAACACTTTAGCACTTTAACAATCACATCAGTAAATCAAGTGCTAGGGGCAAAGAAACACAAGTCTTATAGTATTCTTGGGTTTTATATGACGTCAGGGCAGAGGCGCGAATAACAAACGTAGGACAGGACGTGACGTATCCTGGCGGTGCAGTCTGCCGGGTTTATACACGGAGATATAGTAGAAGAAGAAGTGGTCTATACACGGAGATATAGTAGAAGAAGAAGCGCTGTCAAGATGCCATCTTTTTGTGCGGTGTACGTTTGTAGCAACCGCACAAATAGAGAGAAAGACCAGAGTTTGTTCATGTTCCAACTGTGGTCTCATATAAAGGAGGACACTTTGGAAAAATCACTGGAATGAGGCGGGCGAGGTGGATCAAGGCTTTCCCAGATAAGCGCCCCCTGCAGGCCACCCCAATGAAACGCAGACATTTCTTCTGTTTTTCTTTCCAAAAATGCCCTCTTTTGAGAAATACTTTTTAGTACTGCCTTAGAATTGAGTGTCCCCGATTAAGACTGTTCCAACAACCGTACACCGCACAGGAGGAGAGCCTTTGACTCCAAAACAGACTTTACATGGTTTTCAATGGGAGCAAAACCAGTGGGGGAGGGTCCCGGCTCAAAAGTGTCCAAAATGACGTGCGCTGATATGCTGCAATACCACCCCGGGCCTGTGGGGGTGGACCCAGAAGTAGAATTAGCCAATGCTAACATATAGCATTAGTTGACCGCTCAAAAACGTCTTTACAGGATGGACCAAAAGTTGGCTCTTGGCCCAAAGCTCCGTTCCACATGTGTGTCAATGCTGAGTGTTCTGGACCAGTCTAGTTTAGTCGCTGTGGATTTTTGAAGTCTCTCGTTCAAATGAATGGAGTTGCTCCGGCTGACGCATGCGCAGATGCGTTTTTTCACAATTTTCTTGTGGGCGGGACCACTCGCGGCCATTTTGAATAGCTCCAGTAGAACACTATTTTTGGCCCATTAGTTAGAACGGCGGAGATAGGCGTGACTCTGTCTGTTAATATATACAGCATATGAGCAAAACTGAGTTGTCCCATCTCTGCTCATGCGCCCCCTACTGGCCAGTTTAATGAAACCCAAGAATTTGCAGTATTCGTAGTATTCTAAAATATTGTTCTCTCACTTTTCTAATCTTCATGAGACTTATCACATTACTTTTGGTACTTCTACCTCCTGCAGTATTCGCTGTATTTGCAGTATTCGTAGTATTCACAGTACTACAAGTTGTACTTTTTTCACGATGGAACCTTTTGTCTTTTTAATTTGATCTTATGAATGTTTTGGATTGTTTTAGTTTGTTAAATGGTTTTTACTGGACTTCGTTTCAACACGATCATTTCTTCAAACACGGGTCCAAACAACACGCCTGTCTTTCCCTCAGTTGAGAACAAACAACAGGGACAAATAAAAGATGAGAGAAATGAGAGAACACAGCAGTGGCGAGAGAGGGCAGTTGCCACGGCGACGCAACCCAAGCCATTCATCCATTATCCATGATGCATCTATAAAACATGGCCGCCGCGTCTTCCCCAGAAACAAGAGGCTAAAGTAGGGCGCGCGGGGAAACTAACGCCAGCGCCGCTAATGAGAGCGCCACGAGCTAACAGGAAGTGCACCTCCAGCCAAGAGAGTGTGTGTGTGTCTGTGTGTGTGAGAGAGAGTGTGTGTATCTGTGTTTGTGTGTGTGTGTGTGGCTGCAAACAGTGGATACAAACTGTTGTTTCTGAAGATTTAAACACTGAAAACAAGAGAGAGACCAGAGAGAGACCAGAGGAAGACCAGAGGAAGACCAGAGAGAGACCAGAGAGAGAGAGACCAGAGAGAGACCAGAAAGAGACCAGAGAGAGAGACCAGAGAGAGACCAGAGAGAGACCAGAAAGAGACCAGAGAGAGACCAGAGAGAGAGAGACCAGAGAGAGACCAGAGAGAGACCAGAAAGAGACCAGAGAGAGAGACCAGAGGAAGACCAGAGAGAGAGACTAGAGAGAGGGACCAGAGAGAGAGAGACCAGAAAGAGACCAGAGAGAGACCAGATAGAGACCAGAGAGAGACCAGAAAGAGATCAGAGAGAGACCAGAAAGAGACCAGAGAGAGAGACCAGAAAGAGACCAGAGAGAGAGACCAGAAAGAGACCAGAGAAAGAGACCAGAGAGTTAAGTCTGGGTGTCTCTGCTTCACTCTGGCAACGGATAAAGCGAAAAATACACGGATCAAATGTTGATGGATCAAAATATATGAATGAGAAAAGTAGAAAGAAATGTGTTCTAATTACAAGTGGGAACAGTACATCCATTTCTTCTTGGCCAAACCTTAGAGTTTAGTGAGCGTTTTTTAGAATAGAGTTTTGTATAGTGTCTCTTTTCGTTTAATAATAACATTAATAATAATAATTGAATGTATGAAGTCAGTTATGGAAAAAGTCACAGATTTCATAATATTTGATGACGACATTTTTGACGTGACAGTTTTTTGTGCTTGGTTAAAGTTTGTTCATATCTGCTGCAGTTGCGGGTCTTCGGTTTCAGCGCTGATTCCTTCATATGTCTTTCTTCTGGGTCTGACTACGACAGCAGAGTCAGCAGCGGCTCACGTTTCACAGATGACTAATGCGCAAAATGTGGAGAAAATCTAAATCTATGTAAAATAAATAAATATATAAAAACTGCAGACACAGACTTTCCTCTTTAACATCTGTTTGAAAACCTTTTAGAGGAAAATCAAAGTCGATCGATGAAGTGGAGACCTGGGGCTGTATTCCTGAAGATTCTTGGCGATAAGACCTGCTGTAGACTTCCTTTAGACCTGCTTTAGTCCTGCTTTAGTCCTGATTTAGACCTGCTTTAGTCCTGCTGTAGACCTCCTTTAGACCTGCTTGAGTCCTGCTTTAGACCTGCTTTAGACCTGCTGTAGACCTCCTTTAGACCTGCTTTAGACCTGCTTTAGACCTGCTTTAGACCTCCTTTAGACCTGCTTTAGTCCTGCTTTAGACCTGCTTTAGACCTCCTTTAGACCTGCTTTAGTCCTGCTTTAGACCTGCTTTAGACCTCCTTTAGACACCTGCTTTAGACCTCCTTTAGACCTGCTTTAGTCCTGCTTTAGACCTGCTTTAGACCTCCTTTAGACCTGCTTTAGTCCTCTGGTTCTTGTGGTTCAAAAGTTATTGGTCTTGGTTTTGGTCCAAAAGTTGGTTCATTGGTCCAAAAGTGGTTCTTGGTCCAAAAGTGTGTTCTTGGTCCAAAAAGTGGTTCTTGGTCCAAATAGTGGTTCTTGGTCACAAAATCAATAATAAATATGAGTTTTGTTCGACTTCTTTGGTTTCAGATTGACCTGTGTGAGGGGAGTGATATGTTTTTGACCGTATAGTTTAGTCGCTGTGGACTTTAGAATGCACTGGTTAAATGAATGAGGGCTGATGCATCTGAAGCATAATCTGTTTTTTCAGACTTTTTACCTGCGGCATTTTGAAAAAGCCAAGAAGCCAATGTGAGGTTCAATTAGTTTTCCAAATGAGAAAATGCCGTCTTTTAACATTGACGGTCTATGTATAATATGAGGATGATAATTATTGATTGTTGTGATTTTTCTCTATTGGTCAGGACGAGTCGGAGGTTCTACACGTGTTGTGGCGGACCCTCCAGGCAGCTGCTGAGTGACCTGTCCAGCACCAGTCCTCAGATAAGCTAGAGATTTTAGACTAGCTTCTTTATTATGCTAAAGTTAGAGATTTTAGACTAGCTTATTTATTATGCTAAAGCTAGAGATTTTAGACTAGCTTCTTTATTATGCTAAAGCTGGAGATTTTAGACTAGCTTCTTTATTATGCTAAAGTTAGAGATTTTAGACTAGCTTCTTTATTATGCTAAAGTTAGAGATTTTAGACTAGCTTCTTTATTATGCTAAAGTTAGAGATTTTAGACTAGCTTCTTTATTATGCTAAAGTTAGAGATTTTAGACTAGCTTCTTTATTATGCTAAAGCTAGAGATTTTAGACTAGCTTCTTTATTATGCTAAAGTTAGAGATTTTAGACTAGCTTCTTTATTATGCTAAAGTTAGAGATTTTAGACTAGCTTCTTTATTATGCTAAAGCTAGTGATTTTAGACTAGCTTCTTTGTTATGCTAAAGCTAGTCCTCCTATACTTATGCATCAAGATATAAGTCATTTATCTGTAACCGCTGACGCAACACTGACATTTCCCACCGTGGGACCAAAAGTCTCTATCTAAACTCTCCAAACTTGACCTTCCATTGTACTTTCCGCTGATGACGGGGATTAGAAGAATCTGTGGAGGCTTTACCAGGACAGACCGAGGCCCAGGTCCAGACCAGAGCCATGATAGCGGTGGTCTGGACCTGGGCCTCGGTCTAGGTCCAGACCAGAGCCATGATAGCGGTGGAAACAAAGGCTCAGTCCCGGAGGATTCAGGTTCAGGAGGTCCAGGTCCACTCCCACATCACTCTGAAAACACATCTGTCGCCAGAGATTGTTTTGCCGGAGACCACGGCGGCTCCGGGACCTTGGACTCGGTCTGTGGACTCGGTCTGGTCGGGAGTGGAATGGAAATGAAGAGAGAAAGTCAACGTGAGCGGCCAATGAGAGAGGACTTACTCAAACGGGTCTGTGGTAGATTTACACCAGGATGTATGGTGTATTATTGTTGGATATTCAGCACAATGAGGGGAGGGACCAGAGAGAGACCAGAGAGAGAGACCAGAGAGAGACCAGAGAGAGACCAGAGAGAGACCAGAGAGAGACCAGAGAGAGACCAGGGAGAGACCAGAGAGAGACCAGAGAGAGAGACCAGAGAGAGACCAGAGAGAGAGACCAGAGAGAGACCAGAGAGAGACCAGAGAGAGACCAGGGAGAGACCAGAGAGAGACCAGAGAGAGACCAGAG